CTGCGAACCTCCTCAGGCGTAATGCGCGAATGTGTCTTGCGCACGGTTTAAGATGGGGCTCAGTTCTCCTCTACGCCGAGTGCCGGTTGGCCGTGTGGTCGGCCAATGCGGATGAAGTGCACCGGCCAAGTCAGGGCAGCTTCCTGGAACTTTCTGCGTGTTGTGTCTACTGTTGTTCAAGCATGTCAGAAGAAAACAAACTTATATTCGGAGGATTCAATGATTGGAAAAAAATTGAGCATACCAAATTAAAAGAACATGAGAATTCTACATTCTGTAACATAAGTCGCGCGGAAGTGTGCTGCGCACGAGATTTAATGGCGGCTCAGTTGCTCCTCTACCCGAGTGCCGGTTGCTTCGTGTGGTCGGCCAATGCGGAGAAGTTGCACCGCCAAATCCAGGGCGGGCTTCTGGAACTGTTTTCTGCCGGTGTTGTCTACTTTTGGTTCAAGCAATTCAGAAGAACAAAATTACATCGGAGGATATCAATGATTGGAAAAATCGCATAACCAAATAAAGAACATGAGAATTCTACATGTCATAGAAAAGCTTACGTCCGCATTGAAAATAGACAGCGGACTGAAAAACCAAGTGCGAATTACGAAAGTTGCCTTTTGTAGTTTCGATTTGGAACCCTTGGTTGCAATCTGGTCAACTGACAGCTCTATTGTAAAGTTGGATGTTTTCGAGTTATACCGTCACTCAGAACGTTTTGAAACATAGAGCGCTATTTTGTGTTGTTTACATAACTTAAAAGATTCCATCTTTGGCCCAAAATGGAATTAAATCGGAAACATTTCCTGCGATTATATTTATCAACTTATACACGTGGATTAACTCAGCAACAGTGCATGGATGAACCTTAATTCAATTTTTAGCGATGAAGCCCATCAAAGACCAGTTTGATCGATTGGTATGGTGAATTCAATCGTGGTCGTAGTTCACTCCAAGACTAAATTCCGCAAGGTTCGTACAAAATCAGTTGGTTGTTCCGGAAAACGCATTGATGCTTGCTCTGTTGAACTTGAACTGCCAAAGATCGTCATGTGACCGTATCTGCAGATTGATACAACCTAGCCATTAGTGACCAGCATTACGTTCATATTGCATAAACATCTGACTGTCAAAAAAATGTGTTGTCGGCGTTTGGATCCCACACAATTGTCAATCGCCTCAAAAAAGGCTGTGTCATTTGGTTCGAAACAAATGCCTCAAAGAATTACGAATCCGCGTGCTTCGAAACACGTCTATGACATCGTGGACAGGTGATGATCGTGGATTTACGCGTATGAGCCCGAAAGTACTAAAACAGCAGTCGACTGCATGGGTGTTCAAGGATGAGCAAATCCAACCAAAAATTGTTCGCGCCACGAAAGCACTTCCAAACAGTTTTTTCAAAACAAGGTCGGCCTGTTTTTCGAAAAAACTGCGACATGTCGAACGTCCTACTACTAGAAACAACGCCAGGAACAGCAATTCTTGAGTGGTACACAACGATTTTGTTTGCAGCTGTCTCCCAAGAACAAGAAAACCCACCGCCAAAGACGGGATCACTTCTTCACCACGACAATGCGAGGTCTCACACATTGCTCAAACAACGCATTTTTGACACCCAAAAAACATCATTGGTGAGCATCCGCCGTATAGTCTCTCACTGCACCGAAGTTGACTTCTGTTTATTCCCGTTACGTAAAAACAAAACTAGAGAAGTTCAACGTTTTCGACACTTTGAAAGCGGGTTGCTTGCATTTCAGAATGCATGTTTTGGAGATACCTCAATCGATGGCAAAAGTGCTTCGACAATTTGTTTCCAAACGCATGCAAAAGTGTATAGATCTTCTGTGGGAATATGTTTAAAAACAATAAAGTGATTTTCGATGATTAATATATTGGTTTTTGTTTCTCCTGAAATATAATCCGAAATATAAAAAGCAATCCTCGTAAGCAGCTGCTTGAAACAAAGTTGAAACCGAGTCGCAAAATTTTACATCAATAGACAAATTACCTATAATTAATAAAACGTTATTTCAACTGTATAAAATACGCCATCCAAAAAGTTAAATGTTATATTCTTTGATTATAATGGTAAATTGAAAATTATAAAAACTGCTACAACGTCGTAATATTCTTATCGTTCAGTTGTTGTAAATAAAAATCTATCATATTAATATTTAATACTAG